ATATATATATATATATATTATACAGTATATACCTGAGTATCCATCCTAGAGCTGAAAGTGTTTGTCTAGCTGTCAGCATAGACCAGCTGTGTCATATAATTTACAGCTATAAGAGCTGCGAGCCGACTTAGACAGCTTGAGATTGAGGACTGTGGACAAGAGGTGACAATCCAGTTTTGAAGGATCTTCTGGATTGTATACAGCCGTCTGTATATAGATACTTCAAGTCATGAATGGTCTATCGTGATCTAGCGGTCTGATATATAGTCAATAGATGGCATGCAGAAGTTATAATTTACAGCTATAAGAGCTGCGAGCCGACTTAGACAGCTTGAGATTGAGGACTGTGGACAAGAGGTGACAATCCAGTTTTGAAGGATCTTCTGGATTGTATACAGCCGTCTGTATATAGATACTTCAAGTCATGAATGGTCTATTGTGATCTAGCGGTCTGATATATAGTCAATAGATGGCATGCAGAAGTGTTGGTCCATAGGCAGGAAGATCTCTTCCCCTTGTCACTACATCACCCAGCCAGACGATCCCTCACCTGTCTTTGCTGTCACATTCTTTTCCCACATTTATTAATTCCTGTCGAGAGAGAGACTCTACTGGTAAGAGTCTGGATCATACCAACTGGGGTCCATAGTATAGGAAACCAACTTCCAACTACTAGTTGACTGGTTGACCAACTACCAACTACTGGTAAGATGGGCAAGGGAAAGAGGACCTGTTCCCTATTAAAGTTGAATTCCTGGTAGCTATATAAGACACATATTTTTGCAGCTCTATATTTATTAATACATAATTAAGGGCTGGATCATACCAACTGGGGGTCCATAGTATAGGGGTGATGTGATGAGTCCTTACAAGGCATAGCACCTTTTCCTGTAACTGTATTGACAAAAAAATGATATATCATTCAACTCTATTCACTGCAGTGCATTGTGACTTGCTGCAGTGCCTTATGCTGTGACATGCATTGCGTTGTACAAACATTCAAACCTGCTACATGCTTTATTACAGGCAATTTTAGTGACTAGCCCTTGGGGGGCTTTTGCTTGTCTATTTTGTGGGCTTCAACAGTATTGGTTCTTTTTTAAGTCAATCAACTTCCTTTGAAGAAATCCTTCCACGATTGATCCTTGATGGGTTCATTATGGGGGTGAACAGGCCACATAGAAGACAACTGTCAATGCAGTTCAATAACGCTCAACAGGCCTGGTGCTCATGGGCTAACATGGGATGGAGTGACAGAGAGATGAGCTCATCATTCTGCTGCTTCTCCTTTCAATGTCCAGTCACAGCCTGGGGGAGGGACAAGACCTATAAATGTTAATTAACTGCAGCAGAGACAAATCAGGTCTACTGCCCTCCAACAGGGCCGGATTTACTCTTTTTGCTGCCCCAAGGCCAGGTTCCTCAATGCGCCCCCCTACCCCCAATGGAGAATGGCAACCAGATGCCAGGGGTTTGGTTTTAATTTTTTTTATTCTTTCTTTATCATTTCTTTTTTAAGTTTAATTTTTTTCACTTTTTCAATTTTTATTTATCTTATCTTTTTCTTTTTTTATTATTTTTTTTACTTTTTTATCACTCTTTTAT